CCGCCCGGTCAGTGTGGACCGAGGTCGGAGGGTAAGAGCAAGACTGAGGTTTATTCGATTGCGGGCGGGACAGAGGACAAAGAGGAAACTAAGTCGATAAGGGCCTACTTTAGTTTGCCAGTCAGATCCGGGGAGCCGGAAGCAGCCGAGGTGTCGGGTCGCTCGGACTCACCGGACACCAGCGAAGACGAGGGTCTGGAAGAAGATGAGAAAAGTGAAGGTGGTTATTCATCACCCCTGATACCGGCCGGCAACAACGTTGTACTTTATCCTTGGATGAATCCAAAATTAACAGGTAGATTCACTTTTAGCTGCATAGCCTTTTGCTAATTTTGCATTAACAATTATGAGAATCAACTACAGAATGAACACAGTCATCACTGAATTTACCATTTATTTGAACTGAGTGGGATTAATAGACTGTTAGTAGATTTTAAACAAGAGCTTAAATTCATCAAGGAATTTTCCCGAAATGAGATAAGTAGGCCTTACAATGTAGCTGAATTTCACCTAGTCTTTCTTCCAAAAGTTGTTTTCATCCGGGGTGGATTGCAGTATCTCTTACTCAATTTGACTACAAGTAATGTTGTCACCAGAAATGGTAAGGACATGTTTGCTTCTGAGACAAACCAGCTGTAAAAATGCGAAATGATACAGACTTAGCTTGCCTTGAATTGTAATTCTTTGACTGATTGGCAGTACGGCATAGGGGTTACAGGTGAAAAATTAAACGCTGAACTACCCGGTTTTGAGTCTCGCTGGAGGTCGAGATGGCCCTTTTGGGGGCAAGTCTAAGTGAAATTAAAGTAAATATTGAGACTTCCTCAACTCATTGAAAGGAAATTCATTTTAGTTTCTTCATTACCTTAGGCGAACTAGGGTGACCAAAGTTCTTATTCAAGTTTTTTATGCTTACAAGATGTGTGATGAAGAGCTTTATAGGTAGATCTAGCCGAAATACGACTTCTATAATTTACGAAATTGAATTCAAAGGAATCTCTTCGTTTAAAGGTATTGAGCTTATTTCCATTTTAAGTAAAAGAATTTTATTAAGAGATTCGAAAGTATTGTATATGCACGCGAACTTGAAGTCATATAAGCCCATACAAGTATACACACATTCTTTTTAAATGGCATATGAATTGAAATAACGAAATCACTTCTAATCTCATCAAAACGCGGAGGTTAGTTATATATATGTATAAGAGTAGGGTTTCGAGACTACCAGTAAATCAGCGTAATT